ATATATATATATATATATATATATATATATATATATATATACACTTTTCTTCTTCTTCATATTCAATGATGAGGAACCCACTTTGAGACTAATATTTCTTGGAGATGGCTTGAATAAGTAATGAAGAAAAACTTTAATATAAGTTTAACGTAACAGCATAACTTTTCTTCTCCACAGCTTACAAAATAATAATGTAGCAACATAACTAAATTTATGATTCAGTTTTCCTACACTATGCAGTGGTATAAACCATAGCTGAAAACAAACCTGGTACTACAATTTAAAAGATCTACTCTTTTGTCTAATGAAATATAAATCTAAACTGCATGACATTCCTAGCCTGATACTGTAGCTCTAACAAGGAATTTGTTAAACAACGTATACAACTACATTCCACAAAATTTCATTTAGAATGTTAATAAAGAATTTAATCAGTGTTAACAAAAAACTTAACTTACTTGGAAAGCTGAATATCTCCCAGACTTCCTGGGTCTGTTATAGGAAGGTAGGTAACGCCGAACAGGATCAAGTTCATTTATGTGTAAAAGTCCATCAACTACAAAGAATAATCGAGAACTGAGCAAAAATATTCCTTTGTACAATAGAACAATTTATTTAAATTAATAATGTTTACAAGATGAATGTAAAACTCTGCTCCTACTCTTAACTTTTTTCACACAGGCTCAGTTGAATTGACCAAGTTCATAACTATTTTGTACTCCTTACAATTTCTGTACTATAACTTTTAATACAGCATGTGTATCATTAGAAAATTTGGCAGACTTTCAGGAAACATTACATGACTTTTGTACACAAGAAATTAGATTTGTCTGTGACTATAGAGTAACTTTATTTACTAGTCCAAGTACAAAGTGATTTTCATGTTAAGATTAAAGTTAACATTTTCTTACACTTAAAATGTATTTCCAATAGATACTTACTTCCTCTCAGAAAAACTTTTCTTGACTTATACTGTCATCTGTTGGTGTAAATTTTCACTTGCTACAGGACTTGATACTCCCATTTATTTCTGCATACTAACATGCAAATGATTATGCAGCAACCCTCTACCAATAGGAATCGACACTACCCCTATTGTAACTAGCATGCTTTCTAGTCTTGCAGCTGTTAACCACTTTGAGATTGATCAGATAACAACAAACCACATCAGAAGTGGAGAGGATGGGTGGGAAATGTGAGGGGAGGTAAGTATCTATCGGAAATACATTTTCAGTTTAAGAAAATGTCAACTTCCGATACAATATCTTACCTCTTTTCACAAAACGCTAGAATCCCAAACTGAGCAGGTGCAGGTGAGTTGGAAGATGATCCCCCTTGAGTAAGCGCCTAAAGGAAAACCATTGGGTGTAAGAATGAACTAAAAACAACACCCCCGTGGGAGACCGCACCACTTATAGGCCAGGTATACTCTTCGCCTGTTAGTAATGTGTTGCTAAAATAGCAGAAACAAAAGACGGATCCCAAGAAAAGTTACAGAAATAATGAGACCCTCCAGTGTAGAGTGGCTAGGGTGTGACAGACTGTAAAGGGGAGTTCGACCTTAATCAACACCTGGCAACATCTGGTAGGAAGAAGGTTCTCTACCTTTCACCTCAAGAACAGGTACCAGCAGGGAAGAGGATCTTCCAAACCAAGAATATACCTACACAGGTGCACATCACCAACACTAGATCCACCAGAAACTGACATCCAATGGATGGTAGGAAGTTGGAGGGTCCAGGAGGGTGTACACCTCCAGTCCAAAGCCTGGTGGCATTGGGAATCGTTTGTCCAGGCCACAGAAGGAGGAGGAGGGTAGCCAATCCTACACCTTTGTGAATTCATGTTTCATCCAGCTAAAACCAACACCAGATTCACAGGGAACCGACATCCAGTGGACAGTAGAAAGAGGAACAGCTATATGAGGTGCATCTCCAGTCCAACACCTGATGGCATTGGGAACTTATCGTCCAGTCTGTGGAAGGAGGGGAGTAACCATCTAAACACATGTGACGACTTGTGTGGCTGGTCTGGCTCCAACCAACACCTGACCTCCGGGAACCCACATCCAGTGGACAGTTGGAAGGAAGGTGCCTCAGCCAGAGAAGGAAACTGCAATAAATGTCAGAGTGCTACATCCAACACCTGGTGGCATCTGGAATTATACATCAGGTCTGCTGTAGGAATGGCATCACGCCATCTACACCAACAGAATGCCACCTCCCTACACTCAATTGAGTGTGATTGTGCACACTCAGGAGGACAGGCCTCCATGGTCCACCACCCCAGTGGTTTGGAACAGGTAAGTGGCAAAAACTCCCATAATTCACTAGAAGAAAAAGGGAGAAAGTACAATGGAGAGTCCAGAGGACCACAGCACTGAAGACAGTGCAATGGGTGACCACGATATACTATTTTGAAAACCAGAGCGATCATGTTGACAGAGTCGATCAACCAACACCTGGCAAATGTCATGGATCATCAGAGATGGACAGTAATCCTTGTATGTTTTACTCATGTTAGCCCATGAGTGTATGGTCCAGGATGAGCACACTTATGAAGCAAAAGACTGTGAGGTATATCTATGAGTGGTCCTGCAGAACACCCCATCTCGATGGTGGGCATAAGATGACCTGGATATATGTTATTAAGAACATGTTGACAGAGTGAATCAACTAACACCTGGTGGCATCTGGAATTGTAGGTCAGGTCCAAAGTAGGAAGAGCCTCAACGTCACAGTTATCGAACATGGTATTTGATCACAGGTCATACAGTGTGGATTTAAGCCTAAGTGTACCTGGTCAGGCAACACTCTCCACAGAGCAGGATCCAAATATACGATAAGGGCCTCTGCAAAGAAAAAATTAACAGAGTACTTACCACTCACAGATAAACAGTTACAGCACTGATGATATCCTCCAAAAGAAGATGGAAATGTGCAGCCAGAGACATGGTAAGTTGACAGATCTGATGTGAAGAAAACATGAAAATGGCAAAAGTCATCAGGAGAATGGGAAGAAAATGCCAGGCAAATTAAGTGGACAAATCAACCCTGAAGGACAATGGGAAGAAACAGATAGACTGAAGGACCATGGAAGGGAGCAGTACGTGTCATATACCATCGGAGAGCTCTGAACAAGCAATGAAGTTGGATGAGATCAGAATGGCCAATAAAGGTGGGAAATGGAGGGAAGGGAAAAAAAGGTATGAAGGTAGAGTTACCCTCTCAAGCAGCAGAAGTCTTGGGCACAAAGGAACAAGAAGAACATATGAGCTACAAAAACAAAAATGTGGCAAACATCAATCGCAAACATATCAGAATGACCACATTCGCATGCCAACAAGAGAATGAACAGGGACTTCAAGGAAAGGTGATATAATGAACATGAAGACAAAAGTTTCAATGGAGGACAGGGAAAAGCACGGAGGACCACATACAGATGTTAATCAAGAGAAGCAGGACAGGGAGGATGGGAAAAGAGGAAGGAATGAAACAACATGGATAAGAATGGCAACTGTAAAACACATGCAAAGTCGGTAACCTGAAATGTGGCAAATAACACTGCCCTATAGCTCTCAACACAGGAAACCGAAAAACCCCATTCAAAAAGCCAAGGCAAAAAGGATGGTATAAGAAGAACCATAGTATGAGAAGGATGATAACCCCTTAGAATGGACCAACAGTGGTATGTGTCCCACATATGTTGGGAAACCACCATGGAGGAATGATGAACAGGAAGGAAGCTATAAGTGAAAGTCTGGCCCTTCAGGCGAGGGACTGAAAAAAGCCACATGGAAGATGGAGTACAGGTACAGATGGATGATGCACACCAGTGTGTGGCTGATGGTGGAGTGTCAGAGATAAAGGAAATGAAAAAGGAGGTAACATCAAAAACTGGAGCTACAGTGGAAACCAATTGGAGCCAGCCAATACAGAGCCACCAGCAGAACACCACACAAAGTGATCTGAAGTATGGTAAGGACACATGAGAGGAGACAAATAGGAGGATATGCATATAGGTACCAACCCAACCAATCCCAACTGACAGAATCGACTGCTCCTACCAGAGGATGAGGAACAGAAGACCCACTTTGGGGAAGTGGTGTATTGAGAAGAGTGGCAAAAGTATCAAAATCTGGGACACCCCACAGAGTACACAAAACCCAAAAAACGTATCTGAAGACCACTCTGCAGGATGGGATGGGATGTTAGGATGGGATAACTGATCCACAACCAGGTTTAGGGCATCTGGATTATCACATGCCAACAAAGTGATATGATGGTAGTGAGGCCAACACAGAAGATCCAATGTTTGAAAACAAAGATTGATCAACCAAGTGCCCCTTGCCTGGTGATGTACAAGAATACCATAGAAATGATAGAGTGGAATATCACTAACCAGCCCCAAAGAGCCCTCAGGAAGTGAAGAAAAGCCTGACAAACAGCAAAATGTTCCAAGAGATTGACATGGAGAGAGGACTCAGAAAGAGACCATCACCACAAAATCTCCTGAGTGTTGAGATACACCCCACAACTGGAAAGAGAAGCATCCATAAAAGATGACATTTCAGACAAGGAGGAGGCAGAGGAATACCAACAGCAGTATTGTACCAATCCAACTAACAGTCAAAGTCAGTCTATAAGGGAGGGGGGGGAAGGGGAAGAGGGGGATCTAAGGGATCCCAAATAAGGCTCCATTGGTCTATAAAAACCCACTGATGATGATGCCTGAGGGTGTGACCAAGAGGAATGAGGGCTTTGAAAGAAGCCCATGTCCCCAAAATAGAAAGAACCTCTCACACAGTAGGACAATGAGAAGATAAGATGCTGCATATGAGAAATTTCAGAGTTCACAACTGGAGTGAATTAGGTCTGACAGAGGAGGGAGTTGAAAAACACCTCAAGAAGAACCAAAAAATTGTGTGGATGTGAGAAAAAACTTTTCCACTGTGACAAGCCACACCACCATGACAGCATCCTGGAGAAGAAACTGAGTATGTAGGACTGAGTCTTCTTGTGAGCAGGCAAAAAGCAGCCAGACAGCCATATAATGGTGGAAATAAAGGCCCCTGGAATGAATCAGGAGGGCAAAAAACGGGATCCCTAGTAGAAGGGAAGGAAGCAGAATTGTAAGACAATGGGGGAGATGAGTGAAAGTAGAAGACCAGACTTACTGAAACGACTTTCAGAACCCATGGATCAACACCAAGGACCCCCAAGTGTTGGCAAATTGAAGGAGTTTTCCCACACCAACCCGAACCCAAGAAGGGTGGTCAGAGTAAGATTAATACAAGAAAAGATAATCAAATTATTCGGGTCTCATTCCCACTAAGGATGAGGCAACACCAAATGCAGTGAGTCCAAATAAGGGAAGTTAGAGCGATGAGAATCACAAACACAATCATCCACAGTACATGAGGGTCGAGGCATACTGACCCTCAAACTCAAATGATCCCAAAATAACTAGCATGAACCCCAATATCTGGGGAAGGAGAAAACACTAAATAATGAACCAAACGCTTGTCCCCAAGAAGGGCATGGGTGAAACACAGAAAACAGAAGATAAGGACAGAACTTAACATATCTGACTAATCAAATTCACCAAAACGGAAAGAGGTTTGGGCAAGTCCTCCAAAATGACACGCTAATGAGAGGCATATTCAGGAGGGGGAAAAAAAACTGTTCAAATCCAAAACTTTCCAAGGGACCAGAGTCATCACTTCCTGGGCCAAATATTGTAGTTCTGACCCATTGGACATGGCCAGTAATTTCACTGCTGCAGTAACAGCAGTTGTGACCACCCGAAACTGCTAGTGCATAACTCACAAAATTGAAAGAGAGGAGAGGAAATAAAATAACTAGAAAAAATCCAGAAATAAGAATGAAAATGGTAAAGAACAATGTATGTTTGTTTTGTTTGTTTTTTGGAATTTCGCGCAAAGCTACACGA